GCAGCCCTTGTAAAATCTAACCTCTATTGGTCCAGGGTCTTGGTCTTTTGTGGCGTTTCTGCACCAAAATCACAGCATCCAGTCCCCCTATACCGCCCCATCCTTCCCCTCTGATAACAAAGGCACCAATTCGTTGTGATTGCTATGTCTGGATGTCTCGGCACTCCTCAGGCCTCTGCACAACAGAGCCCACTCTCTTTTCCTGTCTCGGTGGACCAGAATATCTCTTTCCCCACTTAAAGCAGCAACAGTGCAGCCACTGTTTCCACCGCACTGATCTCTGAACATGGGACTGCTGTCACTGATGTCAGGGCAGCGGCTTTAGGATGACAGAACCTGGACCACATAGACTTGACGTACCTAAAGTCATAACCATGACCTCACTCAGTTTCTTGTCCCAGACCGCCTGCGATCCCTGAATGTGTTTTAACAGAGATACGGTGGCTTCGCTTTTCCCAAAAATTCCGAAGTTATTTACTTCGATCGAGCTGAAATTTCATGTGTAATTCAGAATGAATCAACTTGTTGTGTTTTATGGAGCTCTGCTGCCAACAGAGCTGCTATTTGTTATAAAAACAGTAAAGCCCCGAGGTGACGTGGTGCGTTTTAATCCAACACTCCCAGACATAGATCAGACCTAAGGGTTGCAACAGAGGCGTGTTGGGGATAAAGGAGGAAGCGATGGAAGCAGAAACATGGAGAGGATACCAGTAGAGGAGGAAGGCTGCACATCTCAAGGGGGATTTGTTTTTGTAGTTATATCAGAAAGACAACCTTGGGTTTGAGTGGACGATGTGGTCGATTCCAAACGATAGATCCAAGAAAGACACAGACCGTAACCATTCAGGGTTTGCCGGTCATTATACTTGGATAAGATGGGGGGAGTGGATGGGTGGATCCAGCTGCTGTTTGTGAACACCCAGGGCTCTATAAATCTGAGTCCAGGGCAGGTGTGGGTGAGCTGGGGGAGAGGAGGCCACACTGGCCCTTACCCTGCCCCGAACCTCTTGACCTTTGTTTTACTTCTGCTTCAGCCGGGAGGCCACCAGGCATCACACTCACACACACACACACACACACACACACACACGATGAAGCGCTCACAGTGCAGTAATGAACTCACTCACACAGATAGTATCTCCATATATTCTCCTGAAAGCCCCCATTATCTGAGCCAGCTGCCATTCATAGCTATGTATTCATACCACCAGCTTTCAAAGCTCAAGCACGAGTCTCCAGAAGAGACAGTAATTATGATGTGTAGTGACCTTGTACTGAGGGATGTCCTTGTTTGCATTACATTGCATTTAGAGAGCAGGGCTGCTTCATAACAATCAATAGAAAATCATCTCTTTGCTGTACATAAATAGATAGTATAATGGGAATGATTGGCTCGCTCCAATAATTGTTAATCAGAGAGGACATGGCTGGCTGTGGACCAAAATGACAACATTTACGGTAAAATAAAGTTTATTTAGTTTGTCCTGGTGTTTACTAGGTGGGTCACTCGTGTCATTATCTTTGTTTGCTTTATTTCACAGTAGGGCCAACCTGTTGTCTGTTTGACAAAAACACATGTTCTAGTGGGCAATTCGTGATTTACAGTTCCATTCTCATGTTTGATCTGAATTCATTTGACATGTTTTCACTTTATAAAACTCTTTTAGGGATTTAAGTTTAGAGGATGGTACAATCACATATATTGTCTGAACCTCCCGGCAAAGCTGGATTACCATCTGGGCAACTGCTGCTGAGAACCAGAATTCTTAAATTCACTGCATGTGCAGAGTTGAGAGACACCCTAAAGTAAAATGTTAGTCAAACCTGCAATAATTAAGTGTTTTTTTTGTCCTCTTAGAGGGCAACAGTAAACACCACTTACATATTATCACCTTTTATGTTAATATGGCAAACTATTAAGCACATATGTGTGTGTTTACGCATCCAACAGACATGCAGCAACATTAGCATTCATTTGTAGTCGCCATCTTTTTCTCATTTTTCTTATTTCTTGTGGCCGTGTTTTTTTAGATGGCTCTGTACAAATTCTTGTTTTAAAACTTTTGTTTATAATGTGCTCACATAGTGCATCTTCACATTGTGTACCAGACTAAACTGACCAGGGGCAAGTCAGTATTATTGCATCAGAAATAGGAGCACTGGGTCTCTTGACACTCTTTAAGGAAGCTGCCATATGTTGTTTGCTCTATGAAGAGCAATTAATGGGAACTTTGCGACCACATGGCACATACACCATGCACAGAGGGTGGTAGGTGGGGTTCCAGGGGGTCGACAGAGGCCCAACAGCAGGTTTTTCCCCAGTGTTTCCTTGATAGTTATATGAAATATATATTTGAGTTATTCTTTATTCAAGCACAAAGGTGACCGTTGAGATATGATATCTATTCAAATAAGTACAAATGGATCACAATGAAAAACATACCTCTCTAGATGAGTGTTTACCTGATAAACGGAAAAGCTTAAAAGTCATTAATTTGTTCAAACCGATTGTAATTTAACAGCTTGGAATGAGCTCCTCCTGCCATGCCTCCATGTCCTCAGCTTCAAAGAGTTGGAGGTGAACATGTAGATATCTTCCAATTGTCCTCCTTCATTCTCATCCTCACGATGATTAAATCCGTTAAATGACCCCGTGGTCTACACTGCACACGAGACGGGGATAACAGTCACCGCCGCCGTAACGCTCGGCCCGGTGCGGCCGGCAGGGCTGGTCGTGCTGATGGGCGCTGGCTGTGTGAGCAAGCCTGCTGCTCCGTCCGCTGTGTAAACCCTGCAGCACATGTTCAACGGGCCAACAAAACATCTCGGGGAGTATTTATTTTAACAGGCCAAAGGATACTTTCTCTCAAGAGGAATGTTAAGGTTAAATGATTCCCCTTCGAAAGAAAAACATTGGGGCTGGAATTGGGGTGGGGGGGGGTATACAAAGGTTTGAGGTGAACTTGATGCATTCTGTGATTTCAGCTTAAGTGAGGAAATCAGTGGAGTCGTGCAGCTATGAAGATGGATGCTAAAGAGGGAGCTTTGATAGAAGCAGTATTTTGTTCATTTCCTCTGCTCTGACTGAGCCAAACAGTCCTGCTCAACAGTGGAGTCGTTACTGCCACGTTCACATGCACCCACTCTTATGTCCACGCACAGGTACACATGAGACACTTATAGACACATCTTCCTGACTTAGCCTAGGGATAATGTAAGTGTTTACTTACTAGTTCTTACATGGGGGTTCTTCATCACTGAATATTTACACACAGCAACTGTAAAGTGTAGCTGTTGACACAGCTAACGTTAGCGTGCTAATATATGATCCATTTAGAGTGAGGAGTGTGGAATATGGTCGACACACCTGACCCAGTTACAACCTTATGCTGTTTAACAACAATTGAACCTGTTGCTGTGCCTTAACCAGGTCTCTCCTGAGAATGAGACCCTGTGTGTTGATGAGATTACCTGTGTAAATAGATTTGGTATAATTAATAAAAAAAAAGAACTGGAAGGATTTGAAAATGCATTTCGGAGAAGTAATTGCCTGATATATGACACAAACAAAGGAATATATATGCTGGTATTTCTTTCTTTTTACTTTTTGTTTTGTTTTGCTGTCTATCCAGAAGTTTGGATGTCTAACTTACTTGAAACTGCTTTAATTCAGACTGTCTGCTCGATACTCCGTTTCCATCTTCAGTCAACTGGACTGTAGAGGGGGCGGGTCCAAAGGTCTGGACCCGGGCAAGAGAAAACTGTATGTCAATAACATCAGACTGAATGACAAAGAAAAGGTCAGATGGGTTTAGCATAATGTGATACTTCCTGCTCATTCTAAGCTGCATGAGCACTTACTCTGAAAAACACATTTCTCCTTGGATGCACTGCTTAAGAAAACAAAATAATACCTGCATTGACGAAGTGTTGGCAGATAAATTATAGTAGTTTTCCACCTTAAAAATATAATATTTGGAAATCATGCTCAAGGGATATTTCTCTTTTATTGGACATCACTGCAGATGTTTAGACATAACTAAAATGTAACTCTTGAGTTTTAATGGTGCAGCAGAGTCGGTGTGTAAACTCTGTAGTTTCCCGTTAACGCCCAAGTAGTAATCAAGTGTTAAGAACTTAGGAAGAACTCTGTGCACAGACTAATTAATGAATTTACAAATAACAGTGAAAAGTCAAGTTACCGAAGACAAACTCATTAATGTGCATATACGGATGAATCAACAGAAAAAAGCCTTGAACACACATTAATATGAATATCAGGTGAACAGTATAAAGTACATCTCGATCATTACACTCCTTTCTCGTTGACCCCACTCGTGCACGCGCACACACACACACACATACACACACACACACACACACACACACACACACACACCTCTCCTTAATTCACAACACATTTCCTGTTAGCAAACCTGCCTGAGCCGGCACCAAGCTCCTTCTTAACACGAACACTATTGTCAGGAGCACAATAAAACTATGAAGGGAAAAAAAAAAGAAAACGACATAAATACATGTGAAAATATGCTGCGGGACTGGCAGAGGGTTCTCAGTCATGAGAGGGCTTGTTGGGAGAGCGATTTGTTTTAATGAAAAAGTCTTTCCTGGGGAGAGGAAAGGGCCCGGCTGCAGGCTGTTTGTGCATGGCTTAAGTTTCTCCTCTGTAATAAAAGCACCAGGACTTATGCGTCTACATGTGTGTGGGTGTGCAGGGGAGGCCGTGGAATAAAGGAGACACACACACACACACACACACACACACACACACACTCATCGTACAGTCAATCACCCAAAAACTGGCAAAAATACCTATGAGAATCAGTCTGGAGGCAGCTCCATCCACTTCAGGGAGCATGTGATCTTTTCTACAGCACAGAGTAATTCCCTTGGAGGTACAAATAGACATAACATACTGGCCACACACACACAATATTGTTTCTTTATCAGTGCATGTCTTCCTGTTTGTCTCCCTCTTACAGACTGTGGTGGATCCAGACAGTAGGGGATGGAGCGGCCCGACGGAGCAACCCTCCTACCACCTTTCTCCCTCCAACTCGCTGACCTTAAACCTCCGCTGTACTAGCAGGACCAAGAGAGACACCCTAACATATAAACTTGGATGAGAGGCGGAAAGAACTGTGAAGAAAGACAGTAAGAGCGAGAGACAGAAAAGGACACAGAGACAGCGTTGGCGTCGGACATCCTTTTGAGGATCAAGACCCCCGGGGTGGTCTCATCATGAAACCTTTCGTCTCTGTGGGCCCCCCCTCTGGCCTGCTGCTGGTCCTGATGTGCTGCCCCCTGCTGGGTTTGGTCCAGTCCGCCAGCAGCAACAAGGCCAGCGATAACGGACACCCACACCTGGGAGACAGCGACCCAGAGCGCTGCATGAGGCACCACTTTGTGGAGACCATCACGCACCCGATTTACAAGTGCAACTCCAAGGTGAGGCCGACACAGACCCACACACGAACCTCGCGTTCCAGCCGCTCACTTTTTGTGGTAGCAAGTTGTTTAAAGGTCACAGGGCCAGTTGTCACCTGACAAATTAACTCATTTGTTACGAAACAATTTGTTCCAAAGCAAGCCTCGGAGACAAGAAGAAAACCCACACAGCACCGGCCCAAAACAAATCCCCCCAACGCTAACTTAATTAGTCTCAGACACACTTTTCTCTTTCTAGTATTACTCTTGTTGCCCCACGAAAGCCTCCTCCATTTGGCCATCGCTTTCTCTCACTTTATGTCCATCCCTCCTTCATTTAGACGAGTCTCGCCTCGTTTGTGTGTGTGTCTGTGTGTGTGTGTGTGTGCGGTGCTGGACACGGGCCACGCTGCAGACATATTCTGCACCTCAGCTGGGACGCAGAATTGGCTGAAGTGGACGTCTCCCTGTCGGCCTGCTCTCTCCTGCTCTCTGCCAGGGGCTGAAGGGAGAGCGATGGGCTGTAGAAAGAGAAAGAAAAGTTACCTAATGGTACGAAGGCGTGGCGCCTCATTCCTTTTTCTTTTCCCTGAAGTGTCGGACAACTCAGACGCATCCACTTAAGAGACTGATGACCCGTTGAATCACGTGGCTGTCAATTTCCCCCGTCCTTTTTCGTCGTGCAGTTGTTCAGCTAGCGTGAGCAGCTCAGTTCTTTGGTCTTTTTTTAATATTCTGTCTCTGAGTGCACTGAGCAGGTGGCCAAACCGCAGCTCCGCTCAGGGAAGTCAGGGCTGAACTCACTCACAGCATGAGCGAGGCTTTCTATTACAGTACACAGAGAACTGATGGGACGCCTGGCTCAGCGGTCGTTTTACACCTCAGTATTTCCAGTTCACACAGAATCCACCTGCACATGGACCTGCTCAGTGTGTGTGTGTGTGTGTGTGTGTGCGTGTGTGTGTGCAAAGGGGATGTAGGTGGGATAGATTTATCTGCAGGCTTTCATCTGCTGCCCAGGCACAGAGTAGGTTTCTATGGGTTTAAATAGCCAACAGTTATGAGTATTTCTTTAAACTTTGTTTATGAAGAAAATGTATCTCTCTTCATGCCTGTTGGTGTGCAGGAGAATAAGTGCTGAGTCAAAGCAACAAAAATCATCTCAACACAGACAATATTTGTGTTGATTAGATGTGTTTCAGAACAGCCACCAATGTCGAGCATTTCTTACAACAAGTGACGATGAGCTCAGTGGAGGAAGAAGTATTTATTTTACTTAAGTAAAAGTAGAAAAACTGCATGTGTAAAAATTCTCTATTACTAATAAAAGCGCTGCATTCAATATCCTACTTAAGTATAAGTACACAAGTATCAAAATAAACTTTAAGTACCAAAATTTGAAGTACTTGAAGCAGACTCTCTCACCTCAACCTGACACTAGTTGTAGGGGAAGCAGTTTTATGTTCGGTGATTGGATAACCACTGTATCAGCTTTTATTATTATTTTTTATTCATCCAGCTGGTCATGAATGAAAGGTGCTGACAGAGAGGAGGCGTGTAGAGGAGCAGAGGGGCGTCACAGGAGAGGAATTGTCGCTGTTTGACCGCCTGATCCTCAGCTAGGACAAAGACAAATGGTCTTAAAGTGGCGACAACGCTCCTGATGTGTGTGTGTGTGTGTGTGTGTGTGTGTGTGTGTGTGTGTGTGTGT